CAGACCTGAGAATAGGCCATTTATGGTTCCACTGGAACTGGGGTGGTGCAGAGGGAAATCAAACAAAAAAACAGCAGTGGTTTGAGTATTTTGGTTTGTCAGGAAAGCAAAAGTGTAGAGTCCTACGTCTGGGGAGAAATAACATCAGGCACCAGTAAAGATTACGGGATGTCCTGCTGGAAAGCAGCCCCTTGGGAAAAGACCTTGGAGTCCTAGTGGACAGTAAGGTGTCCATGGGACAGCAGCGTGCCCTTGTGGCCAAGAGGGCCAATGGGAACCTGGAGTGCATTAAGAAAAATGTGTCCAGCAGGTCTAGGGAGGTTCTCCTCCCCCTCTACTCTACCCTGGTGAGACTACACCCAGAATACTGAGTCCAGTTTTAGTCAAGAGAGACAAGGGCCTACTGGAGAGAGTCCAACGGAGACCTACGAGGATTATTAAGGGACTGGAACATCTCTCCTGTGAAGAGAGACTGAGAAAACTGGGGCTGTTTAGCCTTCAAAGGAGACAGCTGAGAGGGGACCTTATTAATGTATATAAATATCTGAGAGGTGGGTATCAAGGAGAAGGAGACAATCTCAGTGGTGCCCAGTAATAGGACGAGGAATAAAGCGTTTAAGTTAGAACATGGGAAGCTCCACCTCAGCATGAAGAAGAAGTTCTTTACTGTGAGGATGACAGAGCACTGGCACAGGCTGCCCAGAGAGGTTGTGGAGTCTCTTTCTCTGGAGACTTTCAAAACCCGCCTGGACACGTTGCTGTGTGGCTGCCCTAGTGGATCCTGCTCTGGCAGGGGGTTTGGGCTAGATGATCTCTAGAGGTCACTTCCAAACCCAAACATTCTGTCATTCTATGAAATGGTTCAGAGTTCCCTTTGACTTCATCAGACTGGAGGAGAAGAAAAAGTACCTTTCTGGAACTTTTCATTATCTTTCATGTTCCCTTTGCCATCATTATGTCCCTATTTGAAATGCGTTTCTCTTTCGACAATAATATATTGATAACTGCACTTTTAAGGAATTTTCATCTGACCTCACACTCAGCTTATGGTATTAGAATACATTCCTATCTAGCAACAGCATCAAAATTAAAGTCAAGGTCTAACATATATCTACTGTGTCTTTATCCACATTAAGCCTGTTAACCTTCTGTGTATAATTAGGTAGTGGAAGTGAGCGACTGGAATGATTAAGAAAGTAGTTCAAGGGTAAATCATGCAACTAGTCGGCTTACAAACAATCCATATTGCAGTAACTATTGCTAATAAAGATTATAAAGAATGTAAGACATCTAAGAGAGTTTCCAACCATTACACTGTAGTTTCTGGTGGCAGATCTATCCTCCAATGTGCCTTTGTGGTTTTGTTTATTATGTTTTTGGGGTTTTTTTTACCATCTGAAGCTTTATATGCTTGTGTCATCTAGGAGAGATACTAGGCTGGGCCACAGATCAAGTCTGGGATAGTAATTCCTTTGTCTCCTGTTTCTCATCATGGGAATTTTTTTCTTTCTGACAGGGTTTGTGGAGCATTTCTTGTCCCATTCTGCATGCCAGCGCTATCAGAGTTCATCTCTCTTCCTATGTATTTAAATTACCGTAGCTAATTAAATGTTTTTATCTCCAGTTAACATGAATTAGTTAATATAGCTCTCATTTCATTGTTCTAGGTGGAATTCAATAAGGCTCTATGCTGCAAAGGCATTTTCCTTTTAAGGTGTTTCTGTTCTTTTGAAGAGTTGTATGATTTCAGTCTTTTTCTGGCACAACCTAAGTGAAATGCAGGTGGCTGGTTTGTTTCTTACACATTACTCATGGCTGGCTTAATAGCTGGGGAATAGTTAATAGCCTGTCTTCTTGGAAATTTCTGCTGGCACAAGTAAAGAAGAAACATGGAAGGGAACTTAGTGGTTTTGAGAAAGTCTGATAACTGAGAATAGGTAAGGAAATACTTCACGTCTGTTTTCTCTCAGGTTTATGACTGATAAACAAGGAAACAGGGTTGTTTCCTCTTGTCTACCCCCTCTTGTCGGGGTGTGGTGCTAATAGACCTACTTGATTTGATGACTGGCTACTGATGGAAGAGTTTTCTACTCTTCTC